GACTCTGCCAACTGGAGAAGGAGGCAAAAAGTATCGTGCCCAAAGACGAGCAAACAACAAAGAACACAAGCCCGCCTGCTCAGACATAGCCAAATTAAAAAAAAAGGACAAAACAAACAAATCAACAATCAATAAATGAGAAAAATAACTACTGAATGCCCCGAAGACAACAGACACTATCAAAACATTTACAAAAACAGGACATGATAGTTCCAGTAGGCATCCAAAATAAAACACCAGATGACTTTCCAGGGGAAGAAAAGGCACTAGAACTACCTGATAGGGAATTCAAATCTCTAATAATCAAAATTATCTAAGAGTTGAAGCAAAAAGCAAACAAAAATGAGGAAAAAATAGACAAATTAATGGAAAAGGCAGACAAATTCATGGAAAATACAGACAAAAAAAATGGAAGAATTCAGGAAAATAATGCAGGAACAAAATGCCAAAATAAACCCACAACTAGAAATTATAACAAAACCAACAATTACAAATCCAAAAGATAAACAACAAGATTTCAGAAATGGACAGTGTCATAGAAGGGCTGAGGGGCAGATTTGAAACGGTGCAAGACAGGATCAGTGGAATTGAAGACAAACACTTGGATAGAACTCTGTTCGAGAAAAACTCATAAAAAAGAACAAAGAAAAATGAAGACACCCTGAGAATTATGTGGGATACAATCAAAAGCATAAATTTGAGAGTGATCAGCGTTCCAGAACAGGGAGAAAAAACAGAAAACACAGGATCATTGAAAAACTACTGACAGAAAAACTTCCCTAATGTCATCGAAGATGAAAAGCTGGCCATCCAAGAAGCTCAAAGAACCCCACATACGATAGACCTCAAAAGAAAATCACCAAGGCATATCATAATCACATTCAGCCAAAACTAAAGACAAACAGAATCCTGACAGCAGCTCATGAAAAAACAAGAAGTTACATATAGAGGAGAAACAATAAGAGTAAGCTCAGATTATTCGGCAGAAACCATGCAGGCAAGAAGGCAATGGGATGACATATATAAAACCTGAAAGAAAAAAATTGCCAGCCAAGAATAATATATTCTACAAAAGTCTCATTCAAATATGATGGTGAAATTAGGACATTTCCAGATAAACAGAAATTAAGGGAATATGTAAAATCCAAGCCAAACTTACAAGAATTATTAAAGGGAGTTCTTCGATCTGAGAACAAACAACTTCAGCTCACAGGCTGAATCTAGGACGCAGGATCGTACCAGCCAGATATCAATCTAGGAAATGAACTCTCAAGGACTAACCAAAAGCAAAAGAAATACAACAGGGAATCATAGCAGTGAATCTGTAAATGAGAACATCAGAACAATAAAAGCGGGAATAAACGGTGTAGGAATCGAACCTTCTAATGAAGAGGAAAGCAAGGCGATACCAAGTAATAACAGACTGCTTCAAACTTAGACAGATAAGTGTTAATTTCAAGGCAAGAAAGGTAACAAACATACTCATAAAAATAAAGGGGAAAAACAAAGTCTCAGTAAAAACAAAACCTACAAAAACAAAAGAAATGGAAAAAAAATCCACAAAAAAAAGTAATGCAGCACAGGAGAGTAAGAACAAAGAAAACTTCAGCACCACAAAAAAAGGCACTACAAAATGACAGCAATAAACTCAAATCTGTCAATAATTACACTGAACGTAAATCGAGTCAATGTACCCATAAAGAGATGGAGAGTGACAGAATGGATTAAAAAAACAGGATCCATCAATATACTGTCTACAAGAGACACACCTTAGAAACAAAGA